TCAATGTTAACATCAGGGCCTTCAATGTCCACCTTGGGCACTGAGACGTCAATGTCGGCCTTGGGCATGTTCAACTCCACCTCAGGGCCCTCTGCTTTGAAACTGGGCATGCTGAACTTCGGCATTTTCACCTTAGGCATCTTCAGGTGCCAGTCTGTTCCATGGACATTTGGAATATTTACATCTATTTTGGGGCCCTTTAAGTCTACATCTGGTATTTCAATTTTACCTTCTACTTCAGGTCCAGACACATCTGCATCAGCCTTGATACTGGATCCTTTCAATTGTAGGCCAACATCAGGGATAGAAATATTAGGGGCTCTGAGATGCATTTCAGGCATCTTCAACTTAGAATGTTTCAATTTGCCCTCTGGTCCTTCAATGTCAGTATCTTGACCACTAATGTCCACGTGTGGCCCTTTGAGCTCTCCTTCTAACTTGGGAACATCTATATCCATCTCACCCTTCATCTTGGGACTCTTCAAGTGTAGATCGATGTCTGGCATGGAAATTTTGGGAGTTTTAAAGTGCATGTCTGGCATCTTAAACTTCGGACTTTTCCATTTCCCATCTAGGCCTTCCACAGCTACATCTGGCATATCAGCATCCAATTTGGGGCCTTTGATATCCAATGCAGGACCCTTTAATTCTCCCTCTAGCTTTGGAGGAGAAACATCTATGTCTCCTTTGATTTTAGGTCCCTTTAAGTTTAAATCAACATCAGGCATAGAGACCTTGGGGGCCTTCAAGTGTAAGTCTGGCATCTTGAACTTGGAACCTTTCAATTTCACATCAGGACACTGCAGATCAACATCAGGCACCTCCACATCCACACTGGGCCCTTTCAAATCTCCTTCCAATTTTGGCACAGTCACATCCACGTCCCCCTTGACTTTGGAGCCTTTCAAGTGTAAGTCCACATCAGGCATGGAGATCTTGGGGGCCCTGAAATGCATATCTGGCATCTTGAACTTAGGCCCTTTCAACTTTGGATCAGGACACTGCAGATCAACATCAGGCACCCCCACATCCACACTGGGGCCTTTGAAATCAACTTCTGGACCCTTGAGGTCACCTTCCAATTCAGAGACAGAAGCATCTATCTCTCCTTTCAGATGTGGGGCCTTTAAATTTAAGTCTACATTTGGCATTGACATCTTAGGAGCTTTGATATTTAACTTCGGCATCTTAAATTTGGAGCCTTTCAATTTTCCTTCTGGTCCTTCCACATCCATATCAGGAATATCAATGTCTACTTTGGGTGTTGAGACATCAATGTCAACCTTGGGTGGACTGACATCCACCTCAGGGCCCTCTGCTTTGAAGCCAGGCATGCTGAACTTGGGCATTTTCACCTTTGGCATCTTCAAGTGCCAGTCTGGGCCTTTCACATCCACATCTGGAACATTTACATCTACTTTGGGGCCCTTGATGTCAACCTCAGGGCCCTTGAGGTCACCTTCCATTTTGGGCAGAGAGACATCCACATCACCCTTCATTTTTAGCCCTTTCAGGTTAAGATCAATGTCAGGCATGGAGATCTTGGGCGCTTTGATGTTCATCTCAGGCATCTTGAACTTGGGGCCCTTCACTTTTGCATCTGAACCTTCAATATTCACATCAGGAACATCAATGTCCACCTTGGGTGCTGAGATGTCAATGTCGGCCTTGGGTAAGTTCACATCCACCTCAGGGCCCTCTGCTTTGAAGCCGGGCATGCTGAACTTGGGCATTTTCACCTTCGGCATTTTCATGTGCCAGTCTGGGCCTTTCACATCCACATCTGGAACGTCAATGTCCACCTTGGGCCCTTTGAGGTCCACACCTGGAACTTTCACTTCACCTTCTATTTGTGGCATAGTCACGTCCATGTCGCCCTTGACTTTGGGACCCTTCAGATGTAAATCCACATCAGGCATGGAGATCTTGGGTGCTTTGAAGTGCATGTCTGGCATCTTGAATTTTGGCCCTTTCAACTTTGCATCTGGACATTCAGTTTCAACATCACCAATGTCTACGTCTAGTTTAGGGGCTTTCAGCTCAACTTCAGGACCTTTCAAGTTTCCTTCTACTTTTGGAAGGGAAACATCCATATCAGGTTTCAGTTTAGGAGCTTTCAAATGAAGCCCAACATCAGGCATAGAGATTTTATGTGTCTGTATATTCATGCTGGGAACCTTGAACTTAGGACCCTTTAGTTTTCCCTCTGGACCTTCAATATTCGCATCAGGGCCTTCAATGTCCACCTTGGGTACTGTGACATCAATGTCGGCCTTGGCCAGTTTCACATCCACCTCAGGGCCCTCTGCTTTGAAGCCAGGCATGCTGAACTTGGGCATTTTCACCTTCGGCATCTTTAAGTGCCAGTCGGCGCCTTTCACATCCACATGTGGAACATCAACGTCCACCTTTGGCCCTTTGATGTCAGCAGAAGGAGTTTTTATCTCTCCTCCTTTTGGAACAGTAACATCATAATCTCCTTTTGCTTTTGGACCTTTCAAATGCAAACTAACATCTGGCATAGAGATCTTCTGAGCTTTGATATTCACGTCCGGCATCCTAAATTTGGGGCCCTTTAATTTTGCATCTGGACCTTCGATATTCACGTCTGGAACATCAATGCCCACCTTGGGCACTGAGATGTCAATGTCAGCCTTAGGCAGGTTCACATCCACCTCAGGGCCCTCTGCTTTAAAGCCGGGCATGCTGAACTTGGGCATCTTCACCTTTGGCATCTTCAGGTGCCAGTCTGGGCCTTTCACATCTACATCTGGAACATTCACATCCACTTTGGTGCCTTTGATATCAATTTCAGGGCCACTGAGGTCACCTTCTACCTTTGGCACAGTCAAGTCCACGTCCCCCTTGACTTTGGGCCCTTTCAGGTGTAAATCCATATGGGGCATGGAGATCTTGGGGGTCTTGATGTTCATCTCAGGCATCTTGAACTTCGGACCTTTTAGCTTTCCATCTGGTCCTTCAATACTAACATCAGGGCCTTCAATGTCCACCTTGGGTGCTGAGATGTCAATGTCGGCCTTGGGTAAGTTCACATCCAGCTCAGGGCCCTCTGCTTTGAAGCCAGGCATGCTCAACTTGGGCATTTTCATCTTGGGCATCTTCAGGTGCCAGTCTGGGCCTTTCACATCCACATCTGGAATGTCAATGTCCACCTTGGGACCTTTGAGGTCCACATCTGGAACTTTCACTTCACCTTCTATTTTGGGCATAGTCACGTCCATGTCGCCCTTCACTTTAGGCCCTTTCAGATGTAAGTTCATATCAGGCATGGAGATCTTGGGGGCCTTGATGTTCATCTCAGGCATCTTGAACTTGGGGCCCTTCAGTTTTGCATCTGGACCTTCAATACTCACATCAGGAACATCAATGTCCACCTTGGGCACTGAGACGTCAATGTCAGCCTTAGGCAGGTTCACATCCACCTCAGGGCCCTCTGCTTTGAAGCCAGGCATGCTGAACTTGGGCATTTTCAC